AAGCTCACTGACAGCAGTCTTGGTAGTGATTTTTTAGTTCTGACTCCAAAGGTAAGCAGAACAAAAGCAAAAATCAAGACGTGGGACTATATCAAACTAAAAAGCTCCTGCACAGCAAAGGTAACCATCAACAATATGAGAGAGCAGCCTACTAGCTGAGAGAAGATATTTATAAATCATATATCTGAAAAGGGGTTAATATCCAAAATATATAAAGAACTCATACAACTCAATAACAAAAAAACAGTCTGATTAAAAAATGGGCAGAGGGGGGCACCTGGGTGGCTCAGTGGGTTAAAGCCTTTGCCTTCAGCTCGGGTCATGATCCCAGGGTCCTGGGATCGAGCCCCGCATCGGGCTCTCTGCTCAGCAGGGAGCCTGCTTCCCTTCCTCTCTCTCTGGCTGCCTCTCTGCCTACCTGTGATCTCTGTCTGTCAAATAAATAAATAAATAAATAAATCTTTAAAAAAAAAAAGGGCAGAGGATCTGAACATGTTTCTGAAGAAGACATACAGGTGGCCATCAGGCACAGGAAAAGATGCTCACCAACACTAATCAGAGAAATGCAAATCAATATTACAATGAAGTATGAATGTTAGAATGGCCATCACCAAAAAGATAAGAAATAACAAGTGTTGGCAAGGATGTGGAGAAAAGGGAAACCCTCATGCACTGTTGGTCAAAATACAAATTGGTGTAGCTACCACGGAAAACAGTATGGAGGTTCCTCAAAAATTTAAAAAAAGAACTAACATGTGGTCCAGCAATTCTACTACTGGCATTTATTTTTTTTTTTTTTAATTTCTAAAAAGGATTTTTTTTATTTATTTGAGAGAGAGAGAGAGAGAGAGAAAGAGAGGGTGAGCATGAGTTGGGGGCAGAGGCAGAGGGAGCAGGAGAAGCAGACTCCCCACTGAGCAGAGAGCCCAATGTGGGGCTCCATCCCAGGATCCTGGGATCATGGCCTGAGCCGAAGGCAGATAGATGCTTAACCAACTGAACCACCCAGGCACCCCCGCAACTGGTATTTATCTGAAGAAAACAAAAACACTAATTTGAAAAGATATATGCACCCTTGTTCACTGCAGTATTATCTACATGAGCCAAGATATAGAAACAACCTAAATGTTCATCAATGAATGAATGAAGATGATGTTACACACACACATAAACACACGAACACTATTCAGCTATAAGAATGAAATCTTGCCATTTGTGATAATGGACAGACCTTAAGGGTATTACACTAAGTCAGAGAAAGACAAATACCATATGATCTCACTTATATGTGGCATCTAAAAACTGAAAGAAACAAACATGAAGAAGAAAACTAATAAATATAGAAACAGACTGATGGTTGCCAGAGGGGAGGGGTTGAAGGATGGGTGACCTGGGTGAAGGGATACAAATTTCCAGCTATAAAATAGTCATGGGGATGTAACATACAGCATGGTGACTACAGTTAATAATACTATTATTTGTATTGTACTGGATATATCGTTCTACGTATTGCACATATTATTTGTATTATATATTTGAAAGATGCTAAGAGGATAAATCTTAAAATTTCTCATCACAAGAGAAAAATTTTTTTGTAACTCTGTATGGTGACAGATGGTAACAAGACCTATTGTGGTGGTCATCTTACAGTAGATATAAATACTGAATCATTACGTTGTACACCTGAAATTAATATGGCATATGTCCATTATACATCAATTTTCTTAATCTCAATTTTTGAGAGAAATGGGGATGATAATGTCAATTGCAGAGCATGTGAACATTATGAGTCACCTATGCAAAACACGTTGCATTAAGTTCAATAAGTGGTAGCTTTAATATATGCCATTGGATATTCCCTGTGAAAAAAAGGTTTGTGGTTAAAGGAGTCTTGGAAATGCTCCGTACTACATCCCCCTTCTCAAGAGATTTCCAGGGCACATCAGCATAGCAAAAGGACTGAAAAGTTCAATGTAAAAGACCCTATTTGTTTTGGCTAAGAATTTCCCAAACCTATTTGCCAAGCTGACCCTCTCCCTCTTTTTAAATTAAGCACATTTGGGGAACCACAATTTTCATTGTATTTAATAAATAAAGGAAGTCACATTAAATTGTTAAAAACTGAACATGTTTTACTATTTTGCTTTCCCCTCAGGCAGGTATAATTGAAAAGCAGCAGCCTAGGAGAAATCAAGGCTTCTAACCTAGAGAAAGAACAGTATGCTTTAAGAGCCTGAAGGAAATGAGAAATTTCAGGCAGAAGGAATAGATCAATAATGAGCTATTTTTGGCCATGGAGACATTTCTAGAATTACAGATTCTTAGAGTTTGACAGCATGTTAAAGTTCAGCTCCTTTAAATTCTCACCCAGTGCAGAATTTCCCCTTCATCAGTCCAAACCCCTGCTGGCACAGACCCAGCCTCCCCAGTTTTAGAAAGCTCCAGAATTCAGGAAATTCTCCCTCACCCTGGGCTGAAATTTGCCTCCTTGGAACCTCTACCAAAGACCATGCTAGCAGAATTTCAAGGGTTGTGTTTTAGTGAGAGCTTTCCATTTTGGAGATAGCAAACAAAATGCACAGAAACTTTGTGAATCATTACACAGTCTAAAATAACATGATTATTAATTGCGCAGTAAACTGAAATTAAAAATTGTTGGAAACATGTTAATTACACTTCAGTTAAAAAAAAGAAGTGTTGGAAACAACGTCTTTCATTTTCTCCATCTGTGAAGGGGACAAATAATCAGAAATTCAGCTACAGAGTAAGCAAGGTAAGCAATGATATAGTAGTTACTTTGCAGGTGGAATTATTTTGCAATTGTCAATTTCTGAGAAGAAAAGGGGAATGTATATTTTAAATGACTCCTGTTTTCTTGTCTTTTTAATTTAAAAAATATTTAAAGAGACATTTTAAAAAACTCTTCACCCAAAGCTTATCCTTCTAGCTTCCTTTATTATAAAAAACAACTGTTAAATAGTTAAAATATAGTGTATATCTCATAAACATAAGTTTATCATTAAAAGCCAGTAATAAGAACAGGAGACTTTACCTCTGTTTGAACCAATATGGAATTCCAAGGCTTTGTACAACTTAAAACCTAAGGAAAACTCCAAGAGGGTAGATAGAATAGAACTTAAATGGGAGGAGAACCCCCCAGGATCCAGGCTCTTCTAAAAGTCCCAAATCACTCAGAAATCAGGGACTTGGCAAAACCATAAAAAGGGCAGGCTGTGTTTTCACAGAACAGTCCTTCTAAAGGAGAACTTTCTAGACTCAACCTCACTTTGCATTAAACTACTAGTTGGTTACACTTTAGCACTTACACCTCATTCTGACACTGTGAGGCAAAAAAGGTTCACATTCCTGTTTTACAGCTGAAGGAATGGAAGTAAAACCAAAACATTCATACTGAACAACACTCAAGCATATATCAGCACATACTGCCTTTGTGACAAATGGATGAGTTCAGTGCTAGCTGTGTTCTCCTTTCAGTGAAATAATTTTCTTCAGTTAAATGTGATAGTGTTCCTACTAAAGAGAACAGAAAACAAATACAGGCCTGTCGAGGAAAAGGTGAATATTAGTTGGGACCTACAAATGGGGTCACTGAGCATTGCCCTGCTTGCCTAGGACTTTTCTAAGTTGTGCTCAACCGTAGTGTCTATTAGAATTTACTCACTGACATACAACCTGGAGGATGTTTTTGTTCTTGTCTGTCTTTGAGTCACAGCAGAAATATCACAGCCCACATCATCCATTCCTTCCACGTGTATTAGGGCAATTGGTGCGGTGCCCAGCACTCACGGGAAACATTTTTTGAGCACCTAATTCGAGGTTGAATAAAACCTGGTTCCTGACTTCATGGAACAGGCAGTCAAATGAGAGAGGGACAGGCAAATCAATAATTTCCATAGAAAGTGACAAGTCCTTTGCTGGAGCCAGGCATGTGATGCTCGGGGACTGCCAGCAAGGGTAAACGAAGCAGACAAGGGAGTGGGAAAAGGCTTCTCAGCGGAGCTGACATCGAAGCTGCCAGGAGCAGAGTTTAACCATCTCTCACTCCGACTTCAATTCCCAGCACCCAGGTGAGAAAGGACCTGATGACCCTGCTTTTCTAAGTTCCTGACGCTGTCATGGCCAGATTTCTGTGCCTGGGCCCTACGGAGGGAAGAGATGGGGGAAGGGCAAGCTGAAGAAGGGAGGGAGGGGGAGAGGGAAAGAGAAACGGGAGGGGTGAGGAAGAAGGTGGGGGAGAGATGGAGAAATAGAGAAATCAAAGAGCAGGGGCGCCTGGGTGGCTCCGTTCATGAAGCATCCAGCTCTTGGTTTCGGCTCAAGGGGGTGATCCTGGGGTCGCTGGTGGGATGGAGCCCCCAGTGGGTTTCACACACAGCTGGACACTGCTTGCCATTCTGTCTCTCCCTCTCCCTCTGCCCCTCCCCCTGCTTGCGCCCTCACGCTCATGCTCTCTCTCTCTCTCTCTCTCAAATAAATCAATCTTTAAAGCAAAGAAAAAGAAAACAAAGAGAAGTTAAAACTTCATGACAGGTTCCAGAAGTTGCTCGAGATGGCCAGAGCTACGAAGGGCGGCCGCCCCGTGCCTGAGCGGTCTGCGTGCTCCACGTGCACGCACAGTCGAATCCCCGACCACCCTCTCGCTTCGCTGAGCAACAGGCCGCGGGAACGCAGTCTCCTTCTACCCACGTGAACTTTTGAGCCAAAAGTTCTCCCAACCAGTGGAGTGCTGCCTCTCCCACGACTGAGGGCAGCAAAAGGAAGGCGCAGATCCCTGTGCTCTCCCGGAAAACGAGGCCAGACTCGCGGCCATTCCCCCACGGGGCCCCCTCCACAGAGAACGCAATTAGAGCCCCAAGTCTCCCGCCTTCCCAGAGAGCGGCACACCTGGGATTCCGCCCGTGCCTCCTCTGGATCCCGTTCCGGACCTGGGACTCTGCCAAAGACCTGGGGCGGGGAGCGGGGAAAGTATCCACTGTTACCTTAGGTTGTCTTCTAGGGTCTCCTCATCTGAAGAGAAGGTCCCATTGCTGACCCTCCGGGGAGAGCGACTCTTATCCCCTGCACACGCCTCCTGGGACGACGAAGGGTCTTTCTTTTTCCTTCGGCCAAACAACTTCTTAAAAGGCTGGAATTTGCCTCCTTTCTTCTTGTCTGCGGATTACAAGACAAACACACGCTGCAGTTTGCCAGGGCTGTACCTCTGGGCCTGAGAGCAAATTAGCACGGAGCCGCCTCCAGCCAAGGGAGCTGGGGCAAAGGGCGGCCATCGGAGTGGATGAGCGACCAAGCCCTGTGCCAGGAATGTCAGGGCCAGCCCCTGGCTGGGCACAGTAAGTCTCCCGCCACCGCGCTCCCGAGAAGCACCTGGGGGCGGGGGGGGCGGGACACGGTGGGGTCCCGAGGTTCACGGTGGCCGCACAGCAGCCCCCGCACGTGCCGCACAAGGGTGGCGTCTGCGTTAACAAAGCAGATGACCAGCGCCCTTCTCCACAGAAGCTGAGAAAAAAACGTTAAGTCAGACAGACACTTAAAAAAAATGTATCTACCTTTATATATGTAACTTTCTATTTGTGTGTGTGTGTGTGTGTGTGTGTGTGTGTGTGTGTGTGTTTCTCCTGAGGATCACCCTGTTTTAGCTTTTGTAAGATACAGAAGATAACTGCTGACTCTTGGCATAAGCTTTGCCCTCAATTCCCTCCATCCCTATATATTTCCAGTTTTCTTTCTCCTGCCTCCTTTCAAACTCTACTACGAAGAGCCCCCAGGGAGCTGCTATGAAGGCCTTTCCATGTATTTCTTCACTCGGCGGGACCCAGGCTCAGGGCCAGCATTTCCGACGGCTTATCTTCCGTTATACCGTTCGCTTCCGCTTTTCGGTCACAAATGCATCCACGTCGCTCGGCTCCTACCTCAGGGAAGAAAGCGGGTATCATCCCGCACCGGAAGAAGCGTCTTTTCAGATCCTTCCTTTTCTTTAAGAAGTCATTTACCCAGTGGCCAATCTTTCTTTCTTAATTAATTATAGATTTATGTATTCACTTATTTATTTGAGAGAGAGAGACAACATGAATGAGGAGCAGGCTTCCCATGAACAGGGAGCCCGATGTAGGGCTCGATCCCAGGACCCTGGGATCATGACCTGAGCCCAAGGCAGATGTTTAACCTGAGCCACTCGGGCACCAGCCCCACCTCCACTTTTTAAAAATCACTTAACCCTTACTATGCACCACTGCTTTAAAAATTTTCCAATTATTAATTCGGTTCACAATGACCCTATGAGGTCGACACTGTTAACATTCCCATATTACAGATGAGGAGCCTGAGGCACAGAGAGATGGACTGTCTTGTCTATGTTATGGGAAATGTATCTTTGAAGCTGGAGACAGGAGCTCTGAGGGAAAAGAAGAGAAGAAAGCTCGCGAAGTGTATGGAAAAGTACCTGCACAAAACACACACGTATGGGTCCCCCATCTGAGTATCAGAACTCCCGGACCTCTGCCGGCCAGAGTCTACAGAAAATTCTGGGTATAAAAATGCAGTTAAAGATGTGCAAGGTAACCATCTCTTTCTCTCTGGTGATCTTCAGTTCTGGCCTTTCTGAGTCAGAGTCTGAAGTGCCGAAGAAGTAGTTTAAACTACTTGGCCCTGGGCTGTGATGTAAGACACAAAGAAAGCAGACAGAACAGCGACCAGTCACAAAAAGACAACAGCCTGCTGTGGGATCCTCATTCTAGGTGCAAACAGGCCTTCAAACTTCAGTGGTCTCTAAAACAACAATGGGCTCTATCACACTTTAGAGGCAAGGGCCCTTGGTATATCAGATGCCTCCCATCCATAAGGCTTTGTGCTAAGGCATGCAGTCCTCAAACCAGACTTAAATTCTTTTCATTGTGTTTATTTTTTAACAGACAGTACCATGCTGTCTTGAGGATCACAGCTTTGTAATATAGCCTGAACTCAGGCATTGTGATGCCCCCAACTTGGTTTTCTTTTACAACATTCCTCTGGTGATTCGGAGTCATTTCTGGTTCCATCCAAATTTGATTATCTGTTGTTCCAGCTCTGTGAAAAATGTCAATGGTATTTCAGTAGGGATTGCACTGAATGCATAGAGTGTTCTGGGTAGCACAGATATTTTCACAATATTTATTCTTCCAATCCATGAGCATGGGATTTTTTCCATCCCTTTGGTGTCTTTCTCCATTTCTTTCGTAAGTGTTCTGAAGTTTCAGAGTATAGATCCTTCACCTCTTTGGTTGGGCTTATTCCTGGGTATCTTACAGTTTTTGGTGCAGTTGTAAATGGGATTGATTCCTTAATTTCTTTCTTCAGTCACATTGCTAGTGTACAGAAATGCAACTGATTTCTATGCATTGATTTTATATCCTACCATGTTAGCCAAACTGCGGAAGGAACCAAGATGTCCTTCAACAGATGAATGGATAAAAAAGATGTGGTTGCTCTATACAATGGAATATTACTCAGCCATCAAAAAGGGTGAATACCTACCATTTACATCGATGTGGACAGAACTGGAGGGGATTATGCTAATGAAAAAGGTCAATCAGAGAAAGACAATTATCATATGGTTTCACTCATATGAGGAAATAAGAAATAGTGCAGAGGATCATAGGGGATGGGAGAGAAAGCTGAATGGGAAGAAATCAGAGAGGAAGAAAAACCATGAGAGACTCTTGACTCTGGGAAACAAGCTCAGGATTGCTGGAGGGGTGATGGGTGGGCGGTAGGACAGCTGTGTGATGGGCATTAAGGAGGGCACGTGATGTGATGAGACTAGCTGTTACATGCAACTGACGAATTACTGAGCACTACATCTGAAACTAATGATGTACTATATGTTGGCAAATTGATTTAAATAAAAAAATAAAAGACAGGAAGTGTGTGCAATACAATTGAAATTATAATACTTAAAAATGGTGAAAACAAACGAAACAAATTGGAGGGTTTGATTTCAGAATGCTTATATGTTTTCAGTAGTTATTTATTTGGGAATATAAGCCAGAGATTTTCATGACACCTATTTCTGGTTCCCATCAATGGATAACTTTAAAAAATTATAATCCATAGTCTTTGAAGACCATCAAAGAACATCAGGGCAGTGTTAAAAGAGCTGACCTCATAAAAAGGAATCAATTAAAAATTTTAAATTAAAAAAATTCTCTAAGATACTACAGGTATCATTATATAACTGGTCTTTGGCGTTAATGAAATAAATGAATATTTTCTCTATGACTGTCCAAAACTCAAAATATGTAACTGATACCTGATTTCTAGATTTGGCAGCATTATTATAAATGGTGAAACAGTAATTTGTGCTACATTTCACTTATTTAGGGGGTGAAACTCTTCCTTTTTCCTTTTTATATTGATTGCCTTTTTCCCACTACAGAAATATCTAATCCCTAATTCTCTAATCAGAGATATTCTAAAAGGCCATAGCAAAATTCTAAAAGTATCAGTTATGACATCATTATCCCTGGTCTGGGCCCACACATCTAGTTTTTAAGCTAAGCAGAGAATTTTAGATTACATCAGAATTTATGGATAGGGAAAAAAATCATCACTTTCTCTGAAGTCAAGGGGATTTGGTGGTATTCAGTTGAGCTGGAACCAAGGGAGTTAACTCTAATTAAAGATAAATTATGGGGTGCTTGGGTGGCTCAGGCAGTTAAGCATCTGCCTTCGGCTCACATCATGATCCCAGGGTCCTGGGATCAAGCCCACATCCACGTCCCTGCTCAGCAGGGAGCCTGCTTCTCCCTCTGCCACTCTCCCTGTGTGTGCTCTGTCTCTCAAATAAATAAATAAAATCTTTTTTTTTTTTTAAATTTAAAAAATAAAGATAAATTATAGTTTTTTACATTAGCGATAAGTTACATGTGTATTTCTGTATGGTCAGGAGGCTGATATGGTTATTTGTATTGCTTCAGTGTCCAGAATGGTGGCAACAACCATATAACATTGGTCTGCACTGGTCAGATTGTTGGGGAAGACAGAAAGTGAACAGAACTTGGATGGAGCTGAATATGAAGTTAAGGAAGGGAAAAGGCAGCCTTGGGAGGACCCCAGGATATGGAAGACTTAGCTGAGAGAACTTGACAGGTTTTACACGGGCCCACAATGGCCTCCCTCGGGGCCTCCGTCAGGATCCATCCATAGAGGTGGCCCCATTCCAGGGCTGCTAGTGAACCAGGCACTCTGGCACTCTGTCCCACACACTTGGTGTGGAGGCAATCACTTGGCATGAGTACACATACGTTATCTGGGAAGACGTGTCAAAGTCCAAATGTCAACACACTTTTCAAGAATTACTTGGAAAAGGCCATTTCAGCAATGCCTTAGTTATTATGGGAAAGACAGAAGAACAGTAAAACCTACCTGAACTATCCTCCAAAAAAACCAAACCTTCTTACCACGAGAAAAAGAGATTCTAGGCCTAAGAACACCAATTTCTCTTTGAAAGAGAAGTCAGAAAGCAGAAGCTTACAGGTACACTCGAAAGTCTTAGTATTTGGTCATACCAGAGTTATAAAAAATAATTTTCCCCTCCTCATTTCCAAAATACATTTCCTGTCAGAAATATCTTTACATCTGAAATAAAATTTTAAAAGTTTGTTTTTATTATTATTTTATTATTGATTGGGACAATTAATTAATTTTCCAGGATTAATTTTATGAAAAGGCTCAGTAATTACATTTAGGCCCACCTTACATTCCGACAACAAACCATAAGGAAACAATGTTAATAGGAAATGAAATTTTATAAATCAGAGAGGGAGTCAGATTTACTTGGTTCCACAGTTTTACTCTCAAAGTTTGGTATAAGATCTCTCACATCAAAAAAGGAAGTAGCTAAATTTTGTGAAACATTTCCAATTCTATGGCACAACTATCATATGAAAACCTGAGCATGGGTCTACAAACATCCATTAGATAGACTATTTTATGATCAGTTTTTGACTGGGGGGGGGTGTGCTCTGTCTCCACAGAATCAACTGGATTGAGTGCACGGTCATCACTGGCAGCCATCTTCTTCATAGGTGACACCAACCCTTACGGTGAATATTTTTGTATGGGTGGGGCCTAAAAGATCAAACCAGTTTTAACAACACTTCTGCAACACCCATGTG